TGTGTGTGTCTCTCTCTCCCTCTCTCTCTCTCTCTCTCTCTCTCTCTCTCTCTCTCTTCCTCTCTCTCTCTCTCTCTCTTTCTCTCTCTCTCTCTCTCTCTCCCTCTCTCCGACGACTCTATCCCCACCTCCTTCTCCCTTTACTTTCGTTTTGTCTGCCGGCCAATCTTCAAACGGCAAAGTTAGGAGTGTCAAGCTTTTGGAATGAAATTGAATTAATCTGGCCCAAAACTGTTTAAGAGATAAACATTGTGTTTAATTTCTGGGATAAATATTGTTTTTATTTGTCCACGGATTAACATTGTTTATACTTGTTTTCATTGTTCTCCACCTTGTTCCCCTCAGCTCTATTCCAACCTGAAGTTTTTGCTGCGCGGGTGGCTGGAGGGATGGACATTCTATGCACTGGTCGACCCCGATTGGCCTCACATTATGGCTGCCGGGGAAGGTCTGGCTGAAAGCGACAAATATGAGGTACTTAACAGCTCGACAAATATGAGGTACATAACAACGCGACAAATATGAGGTACATAACAACGCGACAAATATGAGGTACCTAACAGGACGACAAATTTTAGGTGCATGACATATATGAGGTGTATAATTGAGAAACAAATATGACGTAGGTAACAGCAACAAATATAAAGTACAAAACAGAACGACGAACATGAGGTACATAATATATCGACAAACATGAGAGAGATAACAGAACAGCATCACCTTGGTAGAAAAGTGTTTCCTGAACAATGGCAATCTGCGATGAACAATTATTCTTTGCATCAAGTGAGAGAATGCGATTTGCACGGCGGTCGTCATGCTTTAATGTCAATTACATTCACGTGGCTAGCTCTATTGCCAAGTGTTTTGGCAGAATTAAATCTACGTGATTGTTGATTACTAACTCCAAAACTATTTGCGTCATGACTCGGTGGAATCAGGTGCTCGTCAATATTTTAATTTGTAATTATTTTTAAAAAAAAATTTTTTTTGGGAGGGGGTATGGTTTTTTTGTGTCACCTAAAAGTCTTTTCATTTGTCTTGCTTTTGATGAAAAATACCCATCTATCTTGAAAAGGAGTCGATATATTTGCAATTGAGGGAGTTGGGGGTCGCCTAGTGTCAGAGGTGAAATTAACAAGAAATGGCCTCCAAAGTTTCGTGACTTCCACAGCTGTTGTATCCTTGGAAACTCAAAACTGACATTTTTGTGCCTTTAGTCAACGGTTTTAATCAAGTAAATACCCCTTACAAATGTGTTTTTAAATGGAACATAAAACCCTCAAACAAAGCAAAAATTGAAAAATGTTTCAACTGGCGGAAAAATTTCGGTTTCATAATTTCGGTTTTTTCGAGTTCTTTATTTTGACAAGCGCTTGATTTTACCAGATGCTACACAGTCATTTCATTTCTCTGTATTACTCATGACAAATTTACATTTGTTTGGGTTTATAACAAGTTTTGGACAGAAGGCAATAAGAAAACATTGGTATCTACTTTTAAAAAATTCAACTGCATGCTTTAATCCTCCCACTATTCATCATTACTTCGCTATCTCAATCCTTTTTTCATAAGTGTTTACTTTACAATGTTTCATCCCTTCGTCTTTCTATCTACCTATCTATCTATCTGTCTGTCTATCTATCTATCTATCCATCCATCTATCTATCTATCTATCTATCTATCTATCTATCTATCTATCTATCTATCTATCTATCTATCTATCTATCTATCTAGGTAG